TAACATAATTATTAATAAGTTTGAGAATAAAATAAACTTTATGCAATTTATCAAGTAGCATTAAATATTTTACACTTATAATAGTTGGACATATTTGAAATAAATACGTGACATTTACGTTTTACTAACAGTTAGCTTTATGTTGATTTTTTTTTTTTTTTTTTTTTTTTTTTCCATGTGTGTGTGTGTCTTATTTTGTCACATACTTGGTCAGTCTAGAGGTTTAAATAGCAGGTAGATTTTATGTCTAATGGCATAGGTTAACATGAGAAGTAAGATCATAATCAGCATGATTCTTAACAAAAGACTGAATGTTGTCACCACTGCCGCTTGCCTAGAGAGAGACCTGCTGATTAGAACAAACCTGAAAGGCCTGACGTAGGCACGATTGCCAAGTGTTGAAAGTTAGTCAGGCTCTGTTTGATGCAGTTAGTGTTGTAGCTTCGTGTACAGTTCCAGGGGTTGTAACCCAGTTGATATACTTTAAGGTTCCAATAAACCATTAAAGCACCAGAGGTGATAAACCGTTTTGTATTATTTTAAGTCTCGCTAGAAGCAAAGAATAAGTTTTACTTGAATTTTTACATTTTTTTTTAATTTTATCTAGTGACAACAGTGAATATTAATGAAAGGCAATAACTCACTTTAATATGTAAGAATAATTTTTAAGGGTAAGCAGTTAGTTATAAATAATTAAATTAGGTAGTTTGATAACCTTAGTCATTATGGATTTACATGGCCACTATCAAATTTTATTTTTTAACAATATTTGTTAAAAAAAAACACTATTAAAATCAAAATTTAATAACATTTCACAGTTTAAAATACATGTAATTTATGACATTAGGATAATTACACTTTAAAAGCTACAAAACATTTATGTCTTCTAACATCAACACTCAAAAAATATTTATCCTTCATTTTAATTTGAAGCCTTCCCAAACATTTTGGCAACTTTATACTGATTTCCTTCTCTTTAAGCATCTTTTCTAACAATTAAAGATTTGTTTCTCTATGCAAACCAATGCTCTCGCTAGTTTCTGCATGCTTTATGTCCTAACTTGTCAACCTCTCCACAATGTACCTATGAGGGTTTATTTGATCTGGTAAAAGTTAAATAATCCGACCCCTACTCCGACATATCTAAAGCAAATTATCGCTATGTCTCAGAGTAACTATGAAATCAGACAAAGGTTTAAATAAGCTTCTTATTTTAAAAGAACTTAGAACATAAAGGTATGTTCTTATGCTAACAAAATCAATTACAGCTCGTAGTGATGTAATTAAGCAACAAGAATCAAATTCAAACTAAAAATAGACTAGTGATCAAAGACTATACAATTTAATTTCATTTTAAACTGGCTCAGTAACTCTATCATATGAGGAAATAGAAGTAGGAAATTATAGTAAAGGCTCAAATCATAAACTATTGGGTAATCTACATAATAATAACTGCACAAATTCTTTGAAGAATAATTTTCTTTATGTATTCAGTTTCTTTCTTCAACACATTTCATTTTTCATTTTAGAATTTTTGAATTTAATTAAGGATTTCTGTTATTCTAAAAAGCACTAAATGCATTTAGAATTTATACAAAAGGCAGCAATTTTATTTCTTTAGTAATTTGAACATTCAAAAGAAATATAAAATATATATTGTAAAGGCCGGTTACAGAGCTGATATGACAGAATTTTTAGAATTTAGTGACACACCGAACAACAAAATCTAGAAATGGCAAAACTTTTAGAATTTAGAGCAGACATTGGAAGCAGAACTTAAAAGAGCACTAGGCAGCAGAATTTAGGATCCACAGAGATTGCATCAGGTGGGAAAATGTGTACCAGCTCTGTGTATGATGCATTAAGACATATTAGGTTAATCTTTGAAATTGTTAAGTTTTCAATTTATTTATTAATAAAAACATCTCTATCTATAATTGCCTGCCCATGTGATAAGATTAGAAGTGTTTTTGATATTTTCTATGCTTGTGTCTAGTGAGACATAGAGAAAATAAAGGGAAGACAAATGTTAAGATAAACATGTTAAGATTCTAGTATCAGAAGTAAAACATTCAAATATTAAGTTTTCATTGTCCTTCCAGACATTCTCCAAAAAGTAAGAAATTCATTGCAAACTTTCTGTAAAATACATCGATTACGTGCTGATACCATGCAGACATTTTTCATTTTGTCACATATTTCTCGAATCTTCTAGAATCGTGGGTTTATAAATCTTGCCTTCAAATCCTTCTAAACTTTAAAAGCTGCAATGCCTAAAATCCTAATGAAAAATTATACCTACCGATTCTGCAAGAGCAAAAAGCCAGAAATATTTTGGAAATAAAAGGAGGGAAAAAGTGTAAAATTAATTTTATAGAGAAAACTGGTGCATATTCTGAGAATTTTAAATATTCTGAGACAATCACATGGGAAAAACTCTTACTATGAAAAAATTAAAAAGAAGACATTTTTAATTAATTACATAGCTAATTTTGCTTTTCCTAAGAGCTGTTTCGTAAATTGTGCTTTATAGCATTATACCTTATTTATTTTTCAGATTAAAAATATTGTATAATAAGTTGCCAAAATGAAACTTTATAATATGAACAATGCAAAAATAATAAATGTTTTATTTTAAAGTTATTTTTTAAATACAATTTCAATATATTACCATTATTTTAATAAAATTTGTCAAATGTTACGAATGTTTTAAAAAAAAAAAAAAATCGTTGAAAAATTCTCAGATCTCGGAATAAAAATTTTCTCTAGAAACTAATCTTAAAATCGCCAAATTTAGAACCGTTTAATAAAAGAATTCACATCCCCAAAGCGAGAAGTTGTTTACGAGTTATTAGAAAAAATGAATTTCAAAACGCTTATGTTTCACTTCTTGCTTAGAAATTCGAGTATCCCATCATTTCTATTAGAAATAGATACAAATTATAAACCATGAACCCATTCAAAAGATAACCATATATGTCAGTGAATCGCCAAAAATATTCCTCCAAAATGCTAATTCACACTCAAAATGACAGTCGTAAAAACAGATAGAAATTTCAGATGATTAAAATTAAGGACCTTCTACTGATTTTGGCCAAAATTAAGGACTTTTAAGGACCAAAAATCGATTCCAAAAAATCGAAGGACTTTTAAGGACTCTTAAGGACCGTACAAACCTTGTAGTAAAGGTTTGTAAAGGTTATAAAGGTTTATAATCACTTACCCTACAATAGGGATTGAAAATGACCACCCTCCTGTCGTAGGCATAACCAAACTCGTTGCTCCATGTTGGTTGTGGTTTATCATAATAGACACGACCCTTTAGAAAACCACAAAGAAATCTGGGGACAATAGATCTGGCTACAACAGAGGCCAGAAACCTTTGGAAATAACGTGATCCGTAAAGAAACTTCTGATCAAATCCATACTTTGTTTTGGCAGGTGGCATGTGGCACCATCATGCTGGTAATACCCTGCAGTCAGTTCCACGTCATCAAAGCTGCTCTACAAATTCATTAAAAATGTGCATGTAGCGCTCACTATTCCCTCGAAAAATATTGGTCCCCATTGTGCGACAGACAGAATGCACAAGACTCTTCAACTTGGAACTTGGTCTGAATGGAGCGGCATCTCCATTATGGCATGTGTATTTTCAGTCGATCAGATGCGCGTCTTCTGGGAATTCACATATCTGGACAAGTGAAATCAAGCTTCATCTGTGAACCATGTCAGCTCTAAAATGTTATGAATATGGTTGATGGACAAAAAGAACTGCTCACAATAATGCACACGCTTTCGCTCCATCTAGGTCTTGCAATTGCTGCATCATCGTTACTACGTATGGTTTCATTCCAGATGATTTGGCAGCTCTCCTAAAGTAAAGTACCTGTATCCAGTCTCCCAAGATAAACGTCAGACAGATTTCTTTGGTAACCTAAGCAAGCATTCTCTAATCCATTACACCTTCACGCATTGATTAGTAAAGGTTCTGCTTTCCCTTTTCAGACAGCAGAGAACCATAGTTTCCAGTTTCTGTATAATGGCTAATATTGTATTTTTGGTGGGTCCATGAAACTCTTCTCCACGAAATTCTTTCCGATATGCTCATTCTGAAAATTCTTCTCCATGAAATTCTTCCTGATATGCTTATTGGGTTTGAACAATGGACTCTGTTTTCCAATACATCTTCACTACGAACCCACGTCCCACTAATAGATATGACATGATGACCAATATCACTTTACCCAATGAGAAAACTCACATGCAATGCACAACACTCAACTAACCTGGGAAGTGTGCACGGACCCGTTGCACAGCCTTGGCAGATCACACACTCCATGGAGACGACGCTGATTACATCTATTAGCGAAACGTCAAACTGTTCTGACTTACACAGTATACAGTCCCTCTTATATGGAATTTCGCAGAATGTTTTTGTTATATCTTATTTCTTCATTTGTTTTGACGTTGCATATCAAAAAAGGGACGGACGACTAAATTTTTTGTCACACACACAGCATTAAAATCGGATACCCTTTAACAAAAACTACAGCCCGATGAAATAGGTCAGTTCTAAAACAATCGCCCTGTATAAACATGGACTTCAACTAAAATCTTGAAATCTTTGCAACACTGTATTTGTAGTACATACATTAACGAACTGCATTCGCAAACCATATAAAGTTGCTTCAGAAGCTGTGCGCGGGCCAAGGTTTGAGACCACGGTTCTAGTCATTCTACTTTGCTCTATGTCCTAATTTTACTTTCTTTTCTATTCTTTATTTCAAATATCAGACAATATAAAACGTCAATTCATTAAGATGATATATAAAGAAAGTAGGAAAGCAAAAGATTTTAAATTATAATTTAACATATGACAAGTAATAAAATATCTCATCGCCAGATAAATGTGGTCTGCATTCAGTCAAGTTTGTTAAGCGAGTTTTCACTTATTTCATAATGGAGCATTAGTATTCCATGCATATAAAATAAAAATTTACCAGGCAGTTGAACTGTGCAGGCTAGTTCAGTCGGTAACTGATACTGAGAGGGATTCCTTGTAGCAGCTGCGGATATAAGAACATTGAGAGGATTTGCAGATTCCTGCTCAATATCCAGTGTTGACATTTGTAGAGAAGTTTCAACGAATCTCCCTGTCTCTTTGAAAGATATACCTTCAGAAATGTCTGCAGCTCCACAGACAGTACCAGACATTAAATGCAAATTAGAAGATGCGAAAATATCTTCATTCTGAAAAACATGTCTATATTAAAGCATTACTTTGATGCATAATATTTCATTTAACAATAAGCACTTCATAGGCAAATGAGGAACATGTCAAAATGAAACATAAAATTAGGCAAAGAAATAACTTTGTGTTTTGAGTAGACTTAGTCAAGATTTTGAGGGCTAATAGGCACACATCAGAAGCAAGAAATCTGCAGATTGAAAAGCGACCTGTATATGACTGCCCTCGAAATCGGGAGTCTTGACTAAATCAATGCCATACATAAAGCTTGCTGCTTTACTTAATTTTTATGAAGCACTTCATAGTTACATTTATCATCAGTTTATCTTTAAATTATGAGAAGCATTAACCATTACTATCAGCCGTGCATCTATTGGGTTGGCAACTAAGTAATTGCGAATTTCACTCATAGATGGCTTCGGTTGAATTTTTAGGGTTGCAGACGTAATACAAATGTAAAACATTTTATTATTTGATAGTTGGCAATTCAGCTGCCAATCAGTAAAAAAAGTTTTTTTTTGATCGGTTGCGTAGTTTTCGTTTGGCGTTCGTTGAAAAATGGAAAATTAAAGGAACATTTTCGTCATATTTTGCTTTTTCATTTCCGCAAAGGAAAAAACGCATCGCAAGCTCATAAAAAGTTCTGTGCTGTTTATGGTGACGAAGCCTTAAAAGAACAGCAGTGTCAAAATTGGTTTGCCAAATTTCGTTCTGGTGATTTTTCACTCAAAGATGAAAAACGCTCTGGTCGTCCAGTTGAAGTTGATGACGACTTAATCAAAGCAATAATCGATTCGGATCGTCACAGTACAATACGCGAGATTGCAGAGAAGCTTCATGTATCACATACATGCATTGAAAATCACTTAAAAACAACTTGGCTATGTTCAAAAACTCGATACATGGGTTCCTCACGAACTGAAAGAAACGCATTTAACGCAACGCATTAACAGCTGCGATTTGCTAAAGAAACGTAATGAAAATGATCCATTTTTAAAACGACTGATAACTGGCGATGAAAAATGGGTTGTTTACAACAATATCAAGCGGAAAAGATCGTGGAGCAGGCCAGGTGAACCAACTCAAACAACATCAAAAGCTGATATTCATCAAAAGAAGGTTTTGTTATCATTTTGGTGGGATTACAAAGGAATTGTCTACTTTGAACTCTTACCACCCAACCGAACGATCAATTCTGATGTCTACATTGAACAACTAACGAAATTAAACAATGCAGTTGAAGAAAAGCGGCCCGAATTGACAAATCGAAAAGGTGTTGTATTCCATCATGACAATGCAAGGCCACACACATCTTTGGTCACTCGGCAAAAATTATTGGAGCTTGGTTGGGATGTTTTGCCACATCCACCATATAGTCCTGACCTTGCACCATCTGATTACTTTTTGTTTCGATCTTTACAAAACTCCTTGAATGGTAAAAATTTCAATAATGATGATGATGTCAAATCGTACCTGATTCAGTTTTTTGCTAATAAAAACCAGAAGTTTTATGAACGTGGGATTATGATGCTGCCTGAAAGATGGCAAAAGGTCATTCATCAAAATGGGCAATACATTACAGAATAAAGTTATTTAGTTCCATGAAAAAATTTTCTTTGATTTTCTAAAAAAAATCCGCAATTACTTAGTTGCCAAGCCAATATAATCTTGCATCCATAATCTGTTCATGCATCCATAATCTGATATAACAGCAAGCTGTATAGATCAAACTATAGATGCACGAAACACATTAGACACATATTGTTTCTGAGATTTCACATATTTTTTATATTTAACATAAAATTAATTTAAATATCCATTTCTCTGCATTCTCATCATTTAACAATTTTCAAAGTACACACTCCCCTTTCCATAATCGTTCTATAACAAAATAGTTTATAGTTTTGATTTCATGAGAGTTATTAAACTTAGAAAGATAATCTAAAGCAAACTTTGACAGCAAAACTAACCCTTACTTTTTTACTTAAACCTGTATGATGTAAAAAATGTTGCCCTTTTTTAATTAAAGTTTGGCTTCAACAGAGTTCATCTAAATGCCCTCAACTATTAAATTTAAGTATTTAAATATTTATGAAGAAATTTCTGAACATTATATTAATTAAAATTTACATGCTGTTCATAATTATATAGCCAAACAATAATTATATATTAATATATATACAAAAAGTAAGAAATTTAGAACCTATTTTACACAAAGACCCAAAAAAGTGAAATTCAATACCAATAAATTTCAAAATATCCAATAAATATACAAAATAAGAATTAAAGAAATGTGAAATTAAAAACCTAAAAATTATAAAAGCCTAAAAATGTATACCAAAACCAGAAAAATAAAGAGGAATTCAATAAAATCTGATGCAACATTATCCAAAGGAAAATACATCAGACTCAATTACAAAACCCTTGCATTTCTGTATTCAAAATTAACTGATGAACTGTTCTTAAGTTTTTAATCATAACAGTTCATCCAAAAATTTTGAAGTCCTGCTTAATTATAAAAGTTCACCTGAAAATTTTGGAGTCCTCCTATTAGTCCTATTTTGTTTTGTCCATATCAGAAAAACTTTTCGAATATTTTCCCACAAAGTTGAGGGAAAAAATACTAGAATAGTGATAATGTTTCAATGGATTGTTTTTGCCATTCCTCCACAAAACTGTATACTAACACAAAACAAAAATAACAAAAAACATTAAAGGAGCACATACATCGTTCAGGCACATCAAGCGAGTCCTGGAAGTGATACACATACAGAATGAGGGCAAATCAGTTCGGTGGTTAAGAACACCAGTGAATATAAATGAAAGTATTAGCAAAATACTACTATTATTTTACAATACTCCTCTCCATTATTAAATGATAAAGAATCTGTATGCATGTTCCTTCAATATTCTTCTATTGCAGAAAAACAGCAGCACCCAGAGCCAACCAATTTTAAACTCCATCCAAATATGTACACCTCCAAAACAGAGTTTTGAATTTGTTTTTCCTTTTTTAGATATTTTGCATAAATGAAATAACTTTTTATTACAAATTCAACGATTTAAAAGCTTTGTATTGCCACCATGCAAATATTTCAAAATTTAATCAGAAGACTTGGCGATACAAAAGTGTGTTGCCACACAGCAAAATGCAATACATTTATCTTTCAAATTCAATAAACAAGCTCAATGACTTTAAAGAAATATGTTGTCACTGCACAAATTAAATATGATTATCTTCCACATTGCAGTGTATGTTGTTCAATAAAGCATAAGATATTTTTTCTTTCAAATTCATTCTGTTATTTATTTACAAACTGAGCGATTTAAAAATATTAAATTTAGATTTAACAGAAATTTTTTTTTTTTTTGTTTTTTTTTTGTTTTCAATAACCTCTTTGTCACCTTCTTTTCTACTGGTAGCGATATTTTCTGGATCTAGAACCATACTAATTGCCTTCCGTTAATTGATTGTGATTGGAGCATTACCATTGCAATGAAAAACTTCTGTTATATCTTCATTTAATACCTCCTCTCCACATTTCTTTACAAAATCCATTATTTGAAAAATTTCACCAGTGGTTTGAAATATACTAAAACCTTCAAATTCGCAGGTATCATCTTTATCATCATGAAATATGGTAGCTGGACATAAATTATGCCAAACAGTTTTTGAAGGCACATACTCCCACGATCTTGCGATGCTCCACGCAACAAAATTTATGCTAAGATATTTTTTTAATTATTGAAGCCTTGCCATTATTCAAGAAATTTAACATGGATTTTAAAAATACTACTTTGTATTTGCATCTGAGCGCGAGTACTATTCCAATATCCGTAGGCTGAATGATGGAAGTACAGTTTGAAGGAAAGAGTAATATGGATACATTCTCTTTCACTAAAGCTTTAAGTGAAGTATGAGTCGAACAGTTATCTACATTCAGGACAATTTTTGCGACATGAGGTAAACCAAGTACTAAATTTTTTCTGCCCCTTAATTTTGGGTCCCAGTGCTTTCCCTAAATTCTAAAAATTTTATCATCCCTTAATTTTTTCTTCTCTAAATTCCAAAAATGTTGTCTTCCCTAAATCATACTTGCCAACCTACGACACTCAAAAATCAGGAGATTTTTTAAAGAAATCAGGAGATTTTTCATAATGTTAAAAAGACTTTAAATGATAAAAATATAGTTTTTAATAATGAATTAACTTTAAATAGTTACTAATTCTTAAATGCAAGCAATACAAAAATACCTTACATATAAAAAACATTTTTAAAACATTTTTATATTACTTGCATCGTTAAAAAAAAAAAAAAAAAAAAAAAAAAAAAAAGACACTTTCATCAGGTTTTGTACAAATGTTATGAACAGTGGCAGATTTTGCTTTCGTTAAGAAAGAAACTTGATAATTTTGTTCACAGCAATTGCCACGTAGGCCTGCTTTCGCTAATAAAAGTTTTTCTAATGTGTCATCACTAATATTAGATCTAAATTTAGTCCTCATTTTCACAACAACACTGAAAATCCTCTCGCACTCTGCATTACTATGGGGAACTGTCAAGATGGCCAACATAATTCTAGACAGTTCACTATATTTTAAAATTCCATCAGCTCCTTTCAGTTTTCCAATTAAACTCCACTAGGTGTCAATCCTAGCTGATTTTATAACTTCATCCAAGTTTTCTAATTGTAAACTGCAAAATTACGACTGCAATATTATCAGTGGCAACATCAATATCATCATGTTCCATGACTAAATGAAGTAACACAGGAAATCTGTTCAAAAATTTTTTGTTCATATAACAAGGTATTAAGCCAAGTTCCATAAAAATCGTGAGACATTTTATGAATAAGAAAAAGTCGGGAGAAATATATTGTAAATCGGGAGGGCGGTCGAAAATCGGGAGTCTCCCGCCTAAATCGGGACAGTTGGCAATTCTGCTAAATTCTATCACCCGGTGTGCCCCTATGAGCTCTGGTGCTGGATCTGGGTTTAAGTGAATAAAAAAATCTGTTATTCTTAATTCAAATAGAGGTAAATGTAATCTTTTGGCCTATGAGTATCATTAACAAATTTTTTTTAGCATCTGAAGAGAAACTTTTGTTAAATTTTTCCTCATCAACATTTAGCGCAACTTAAATCTGCAATCATCGCCAAGCGTAATGTCAACATGAAAGGTTTCCATATGCTTTGTTATGCGTTGATAAACATGTGGTGATAAAAGGAAAATATAATAAATAATGATTCGTCAGGTTGGCATCAGGGATATAAAATATTAGTAGTTGTAAAATCTACATGTTTCTATGTTTATGATCTACAATGTTTATGATGTAGAATGTTTCATACTGAGATGTATGCCAAGCAGATATGCAGATAAGGAGCAAAATTCTCAATCACACAAATTTATGCTTAAATGATTGTTTCTTCAAAAACAAGGTTTTTTTATTTAGTGCCAAAGTGAAATTAAGAATCGTGATTCTCTATGTTTTATTATGGGGAAAAATCAAATTCACAGGCGTAAAGTATAAAAAAATTCTCTTATTGGTGGCTTTAAGGTCCAGATTTTAGATCATTCCAAATACTGGATGTCCGGATCTCTGACTTTGTACTGTATAGAATTATTATAAATTAGAAGTTTATGTTTCAATATTTAACACAAGTTAATTAATAAAGTTATTTCAATATTTTATGCAAATAAATTTCAAAAAGACAAATGTCCAAAAACAAATTAGCCACTTTAAACTGAGAAGCTGTATCAAAAATAAACTGAAAGTTTTGCTTGAAATAGGGTACAGCCATAAACCTGCTAATAGCTAACAAGAGAAAGTAGTATTCCAGACTCTTCACATGAGGATTAAGAAAAATGCAGGATTTTTTTTTTTTTTTTTTTTTTCTTTTTCTTTAGTACATTTAATATTATTGTACAAATCAGACAATAAAAACCTAACTTACTCCATTTACAGTTCAACACTTTTAAAAGGTACATAATTCTTTAAAAGTTATAAAGTATATAATTCTTTTATGTATATTCTTTAAAGGTAATAAGTATTTTTAAATGTTTTGAAAACTTACATCTGGTGCAGTTTTACATTTATGACACAGCCAATCACCAGACGGCAAATCATCATCAGACAAAGGTGGGTCACTAAGAATGAGAAAGAAATATTCATTTACATTGATTCAAAAAAGATTAATTAATTTACCAGTAAAAGCTTCCTTTTAATACCATACTCCAATTTTAATGACATTCACAAAAATAAAACTTTAATAATAAAATATTTTAAATATTTAAAAAAAAAAAAAAAGAAAAGAAAAAAGTTCTGAAAAGATTCAGATTGTGTCACACCAGAGGATTTATTAAATTTTTTTATCCTCTCATTGAGCCAGTCTTGTGCTCACTCCTGTTGACACAGATTCTCTCCTCATTTTACCTTTAAAATAAATTAAACATCAACCACTCCCGCCATACAAAATTCAACAGCAAATTTTTTATAAGCAGCATATTTTAAGAACTCCCAATACAGTGTTAAATGTTGCCTAGAAGAGCTATTACGCTTGAATTTAACTTTTGTCGTCTGTTTTACTTTTCAGATAACTAGCTACTGGTGCGACCAAACACCTAATGTAGTTATTATAAAATATATATACAGTAAAAGTCTTTAATCCGGACTCGTCGGGACTTCGGCGATTCCGGATTAGGGATTTTTCCGGTTTATAGATCATCAATTTAAATCTGGTAGTTTAAATCTGAAACCGTAATTTATGAAATAAAGAGCAATTATGATCTAAACGGTATCAAAATTTACAAAAAAAAAAGCTTAATATTTATTTGTTTACTTTATTAAAGATTTCTTTTCAATGTAAGTTGTTTAAGTTGCTTCTTCATTTTATGTGCTAATACTTTCTTTCTCTTTAATTCTACAAACAGACATAATTTCTTGTTCAGGTTACCAAAGTTCCGCTGTTCAAGTCCTGTAATTGCTGGGCCGAGAATACCAACTAACTTGTCAATCGAAATTTTTTCGTTTTTCACTAACCTCTCTGTCACTTTCTTTATGCCTTTATCCATTTTTTGCAGGAATTCCACTTTTTGTTTGATGAACATCGAAACATGTTTTCGCCTTGGCAGCTCCAGAATCGGAAACTCTTTTTGACATAATCGAAAGGTCAAGCTTACTTTTTATAAAATTGCTCCAACAATCTGCAAAAAATAATAAGCCGGATCCAATTAGAAGATAAAGGAACAATGCAATCTGCAACATTAACTGAAATAGATAATTAGATCATTTTAGCTTAGCTTATACCGTCTGTTATACATTAAATGCGGATGCGTAAACATATTATGCACATGCATGAATGCATTTGCACAAGCGTAAAGGTATTATGCGCATGCGTAAACGCTACGCATGCGTAGAAAGTTTGTAGCTTTGAGGTCCGGATTAAAGACTTTGTACTGTATATATAATGTCTTTTAATAAATCCAGTTAGTAATTAATAAAAGAGATAAAGAACTATTTAATGCTTTTGAAGTATTTATTGCATTTGAATCAATAAGAGGGCGGCTAAATTTAAAAGAAAAATTAAACACTGCCAAATGGCAACAAACTGCATCTTAACTTGGCCACCAATGGTTAACTTTTCGGGCTGGGATATCAGGCCCGAAAAAATCAGAAAGTACAGAGAAAAGATATTTTATACATCATGTTTAAAAACATCATTCAAACATGAAATTTATAGCTAAGTACTTACATATTATCCCATCGACTGTGAAAGCTGGCAGAGATCCAAGTAAATTTGTGCCAATCCTTCCTCCAGAATTCTGAAGGAACTGATGCCTTTTTATTTAATAAATTAGCAGTAATTGACACACTTCATAAAAAAGGCTTTTGTCAATTACTACTATTTTGTTAGCTTTCTGATTTTAAAGGAAGCTTAACATGGAATGTTATGAGAAGTAATTGTTCCAATTATTATTGCAGGTAATTATTCCAATCTATTATTGTTTTATCAGTCATACTCAGCTTATAATATCACTTCCATTAATACATACTTTTTTGATGGTAGGATCCCATAACTCATTAATAAAAATCATCAATCATAAAAATCATAAAAACGCATAATAATCACAAAAATCATCCTTTGCTTACTGTTCTGTAGAAGGCATGTTCCAAATGTTAATCATTTTTTTAAAAATGCACGAAAAATACAACAGCAACAGTTTATTCATATTATTCTTCATAAAAACAATGAATCAATCAGGGTTACATCAAATGAAAGTGCAAATGTTCTGAGTGTGTTGTAATATCATGCTTAGCCATAACTGGAACTAAATCACATTGTTTGGCTACAGTTTTCATACTCAAAGGTAAAATGTAAAACCATCTTATACTTCAACACTTTTAATATCTTATTTTTCTTTCTTATAATTGAAAATTTTTTATATCTAAGTTCTTAAAATAACTGTACATTATAATAGCTTCTTGTACAATTCTTCTCTGTTTGGAAAAGCTAACTTCTGTTTAATTTATTAAATATTGTATACAAGTAAAATAAGATTTCTACAACATGACACTAAGTTTCCTTCAAAAGATCTTGTTCAGTAAATTATTCACATTGTTAAAGATGCTAAATTAATACACAAGCAGGAAAAATCAACAAATAAAGTAACTTTTATCGATATAATACGAGACTGCTTATATAATATAATGATTTTTTTAATGTCTCATTTGAATTTAAGAAAAACAAATTTTGTAACTTCCTTATACACCTCAAGTTTTTTAAAAGGCAACAATATTACTGTTAAATTACAAAACAAAGCATCTTCAAATAACTGGTAGTTCTGATGATGATCATTTTATAGTTTGCACATGGTGAGAAGACCCCCAAGTAAACCACATGTTATCGTATTTTCTTTTTCATATAAATGTAAATAATTCACGATGACTCAATTCTGTCGTCACGAAAAGAACTCTGAACTCGTGCATTGACTTTTTTCCCTTTAGTTAAAACATTTATCAAGATGTATGCTGAGAAATTGGTGAATTCCTCCCTACTCAGATTCTCAGTGGAGGGGCAATCCATGCTCAAGTAAAAAATTGTTCACCATATACAAGCATGACTGACAAATTATTCAGGCTATTAGTGAGAATATAAAACAAAAAAATTGGAAAAAACAGATTAGAGATATTTCACTATGAACCACAAATTTTATTTTGTTGACCCAATAACACCTACTCATACACAAAATGCTGAGACTGTAGCACTCTGTTAAATGGCCACCTAAAAATCAACGGAGTAAAGCTCACATACGTGACAAAAGTTCTTAGAGGACAGGACAAGTTTTGATGGTTTTACTAAACCACCATCCTCAGCTGCCAAAGTGCGAATGAACGAGATAAGATTTAGTGATAAGTTAAGAATAGATGGACAGGAGTTAAGCTACTAGCACCATCTATTGATGAAACAAGAAAACTAGAACATAATTTCCTTAAAGGCTGAAGGTAAAGATGAATTTGAATTAGGGTTGTTAACTAGAACAGAAAGATTTTTTTTGAATATGAAATGCCTCTAGGAAATCTAATTCACCCATCAAAGTTTTTTTTTTTTTTTTGAATAATAATGGATAATTCTTATCGTATTACTATATTTTATCTCGTTCATTTGCACTTTGGCAGCTGAGGGTGATGGTTCGGTAAAACTATTGAAACCAGTCTGTGAAAATTTGCAAATATAACGCTGATTTTTGTTGTTTGACTCTTAATTAATGCTTATTTGGCCGGTTATTTTAACCTAAAGAGTAGTCATTATAATAAGGAAGTAACCAAATTTTACAGAATAGGAAATCAAAATCAATGCAGTTGACTAACAAAACAAATACATGATTTCTGAACAAAAAGCACCTTGGAAGATAAATGTAGTTTGGAGTTATGAACACTTGAATTCGCTAAATGCAATTTTCAAAAGTGTTTTAAGGTAACATGGGCCACATATTTAACCCTCAGAGCCTTCTGGAAAAATCCTGTTTAATATTTTCCATTGCTTGATTCTCATAAACCTTTTAACTGTCAAGTTATTTTGATGATTTGGAGGCATAAATTGTCGATTTTTTTTTTTCAAATACGAAATGTTTGCCATGCAATCAAAAAAAATTTTTTTAATGCCACGTACTTTTGAACTTTAACATCTATCCTTTCAAAACCCTCAGTAAAGTGCTGCCATCTGTTGAATTGAAGTCAAAATAATCTCACAACATATATTCAGGTATAACAATACGCATTCAAAATTAATTAGCCCGAATAATATTCAGGCATGACATTTTGGAATAACAGTGCTGTGCCCAAGATTATTTCGGGCATGACAGTTAAAAGATTAACAAAGCCTAACACTAAATGACTTGCAGGACGACTTCGACTTCAGCCTGGATGAAATTGGTCAGACTTATTTGCACGCAGACACCTTGGCCACTTAAAAGTTTTTTTGTTCTTGTGGATATCATATTGATAAAGTTATAGCATAAACATTTTCAACGATAATGCTTTGTCTAATTTTAAAACCATTTAAAAAAGTAAACAAAAAACTAGATTGGAAAAACTGAGTGACGCAGAAACTCATCAACAAAGCAGAATCACATAGTGTTAACAAACAAAGAAAAGATGAAAAAAGACACTCTTGAAAGAAAGTTATCTGATGTTTTAATAAAAGAAAAGTTCACAGCCAAGCAATATCATCTACTCATCATTTTCTACTTACGCTGTCTCCTCTGTACACTCTCCTTTGCATAGGTACAGTAATATTAAAATTTTCATCTTTTTACCTATTTAATACAGTACAAAGTCCGTAATCCGGACTCGTCGGGACTTCGACGATTCCAGATTAGGGTTTTTTCCAGACTATAGACCATCAATTATAATCTGGTAAGATGGCATGCAGAAATTATACAATTAAAAATATGAAACTGTAATTTATGAAATAAAGAGCAATTATGATCTAAAGGATATCAAAATTTACAAAAAAAAAAGCTTAATATTTATTTGTTTACTTTATTAAACATTTCCTTCAATGTAAATTGTTTAAGTTGCTTCGTTTTTTATGCTAATACTTTCTTCTATAAACATACATAACTTCTTGTTCAGTTACAAAAGTTCC